AAAAGATGCACATATCTCCATCCTTCCTCATCATAGGAAGTTCCTGAGGTTTGCTTTTGGGGGCAAAAGCCTACAAATATTGATTTCTTCCTTTGGCCTTGCACTCTTACCCCACACTTTTACGACTCAACCACATCGACGATTGGTTGATATTAGCTCAGTCAGAGCGGATGCCGGTTCGACATCGAGATGTTGTTCTCGCTCACACGAAACAGCTGAACAAGAACCCAAGGGGAAACCCGCTTTGCATGCTCAAGGTCACGCGGAGGTGCCTACGTGCCTTAGACATGTGGAGGATACCTTGGTTCTTGTCTCAGGGCCCGGTGCTGGGAGCTGCTTGTCACGGTCACCATGTGTTGGTGCTGGTGTGTCGGTGGTCTCTTACATCAACCACAAGGGAGTTCTGCATTCGCGACCTTTGTACAAGCTGGCGCACCAGATACTTGTGTGGTCCCAGGGCAAACTCCTCTCGCTGAGAGCAGTTCACATTCCTGGGCATCTCAATATGGGAGCAGACATCCTGTCGAGGCAGGGGCCGAGGTGGTGAAGCAGATATGGAGAGTGTTTGGCCAGGCTCAGGTGGACCTGTTGCGACTCATATGATATCGCACTGTCCCCTCTGGTTCTCTCTGACTCATCCAGCTCCACTGGGGCTGGATGCCATGGTACAGATGTGGCCGAAGCATCGTCTGTACGCCTTTCCTCTGATTTTTCTGCCTCCCGGGAGTTCTGGAGAGAGTGCGCCGGGACAGGCCCGTCTGTTGTGAGTATCCCCGTTCCGGCCGGGCCGAGTTGGGTCTCAGGCCTGATTTCTCTCCTCGACGGCGCTCTATGGGAGATTCCCGTCAGGAGAGATCTCCTCTCACAGGCGGAGGGCACGCCCCCGCCAGGAGCTGTGGGTGTGGCCTCTGAGGAGGCACAACTCATAACTTCCGGTCTCTCAACCGAGGTTGTTGAGACCATCCTCCATCCAGAGCTCCCTCTATGAGGAAACTGTATTTCTGCGGAAGCCGCCAGCCCGACCCAGCTAACTGCCCGT